CAGGTATATTTACTTCATTTGTTGTTTGCTTTTCTTGCTTGTAGAATGTGTTTACTAATGCTTATTCTTCTTTCCTGATGCTTCTTTCTTGGTTTTTTGGAATTGACTTTCGATTTTAGGTGGGTATATTTATTTCATTTGTTGTTTGGTTTTCTTGCTTGTAAAATGTGTTTACTAATGCCTATTCTTCTTTCTTAGTACTTCTCTCTTGGTTTCTTGGAATTGGTTTTCGATTTTGGATGGGTATATTTACTTCATTTGTTGTTTGGTTTTCTTGCTTGTAAAATGTGTTTACTAACATCCATTTTTCTTTTCTGGTGCTTCTCTCTTGGTTTCTTGGAATTGGACTTTTGATTTTGAGTAGATATATTTACTTCATTTGTTGTTTGCTTTTTTTGCTTGTAGAATGTGTTTACTAACATCCATTCTTCTTTTCTGGTGCTTCTCTCTGAGTTTCTTGAAATTGACTTTTGATTTTGGGTAAGTATATTTATTTCATTTGTTGTTTGGTTTTCTTGCTTGTAAAATGTGTTTACTAATGCCTATTCTTCTTTTCTGGTACTTCTCTATTGGTTTCTTGAAATTGGTTTTTGATTTTGAGTAGGTATATTTACTTCATCTGTTGTTTGGTTTTCTTGCTTGTAAAATGTATTTACTAATATCCATTCTTCTTTCCTAGTGCTTCTCTCTTGGTTTCTTGAAATTGGACTTTCGATTTTGGGTAGGTATATTTACTTTATTTATTGTTTAGTTTTCTTGCTTGTAAAATGTGTTTACTAACATCCATTCTTCTTTTCTGATGCTTCTCTCTTGGTTTCTTGGAATTGGACTTTTGATTTTGGATGGGTATATTTATTTCATTTGTTGTTTGGTTTTCTTGCTTATAAAATGTGTTTACTAATGCCTATTCTTCTTTCCTGATGCTTCTCTATTAGTTTCTTGGAATTGGACTTTTGAATTTGGATAAGTATATTTACTTCATTTATTGTTTGGTTTTCTTGCTTGTAAAATGTGTTTACTAATGCCTATTCTTCTTTCTTGGTGCTTCTCTTTTGGTTTTTTGGAATTGGACTTTCAATTTTGGATGGTATATTTACTTTGTTTATTGTTTGGTTTTCTTGTTTGTAAAATGTATTTACTAATGCTCATTCTTCTTTTCTGGTGCTTCTCTCTTGGTTTCTTGGAATTGGACTTTCGATTTTGGGTGAGTATATTTACTTCATTTGTTGTTTGGTTTTCTTGGTTGTAAAATGTATTTACTAATGTTCATTCTTCTTTTTTGATGCTTCTCTATTAGTTTCTTGAAATTGACTTTCAGTTTGGGTAGGTATATTTACTTCATTTGTTGTTTGGTTTTTTTGCTTGTAAAATGTGTTTACTAATGTTAATTCTTCTTTCCTAGTACTTCTCTATTGGTTTCTTGAAATTGACTTTCAATTTTGGGTAGGTATATTTACTTTATTTGTTGTTTGGTTTTTTTGTTTATAAAATGTGTTTACTAACATCCATTCTTCTTTTCTGGTGCTTCTCTCTTGGTTTTTTGAAATTGACTTTTGATTTTGGGTGGGTATATTTATTTTATTTTTTGTTTGGTTTTCTTGCTTGTAAAATGTGTTTACTAATGCCTATTCTTCTTTCCTGGTGCTTCTCTATTGGTTTCTTGGAATTGACTTTCGATTTTGGGTAGGTATATTTACTTTGTTTATTGTTTGGTTTTCTTGCTTGTAAAATGTGTTTACTAACACCCATTCTTCTTTCCTGGTACTTCTCTCTTGGTTTCTTGAAATTAGACTTTTGATTTTGGATGGGTATATTTACTTTGTTTATTGTTTAATTTTCTTGCTTATAAAATGTGTTTACTAACACCTATTCTTCTTTTCTAGTGCTTCTCTCTTAGTTTCTTGAAATTGGACTTTCAATTTTGAGTGGGTATATTTACTTTGTTTGTTGTTTAGTTTTCTTGCTTGTAAAATGTGTTTACTAACACTCATTCTTCTTTTCTGGTGCTTTTCTATTAGTTTTTTGGAATTGATTTTTGGTTTGGGTAGGTATATTTACTTCATTTGTTGTTTGGTTTTTTTGCTTGTAAAATGTATTTACTAACACTCATTTTTCTTTTCTGATGCTTCTCTATTGGTTTCTTAGACTTGACTTTCAATTTTGGGTAAGTATATTTACTTCCTTTGTTGTTTGGTTTTCTTGCTTGTAAAATGTGTTTACTAACACCTATTCTTTTTTCCTGGTGCTTCTCTCTTGGTTTTTTGGAATTGACTTTCAATTTTGGATGGTTATATTTACTTTATTTGTTGTTTGGTTTTCTTGCTTGTAAAATGTATTTACTAATGCCCATTCTTCTTTCCTGATGCTTCTCTATTGGTTTCTTGGAATTGGCTTTCGATTTTGGATAGGTATATTTACTTCATTTGTTGTTTGGTTTTCTTGCTTGTAAAATGTATTTACTAACTTAAAATTATCACCAAATTTACTTGATCATCTTCTTTAACATCATCATTCTTATTAAGAAATTACCAAATTATCATTATCTTTAAGATCATCATTTTATTATCATTCTTAACAGCATCATCTGTCATTACATCACATTAACTCCAATACTATTAATATTAATGTCTTTGCTATATAGCATTATTTGGCTCTGCTAATTCTCTAAAAGTTATAAAAGATATCTTTATTTACAAAATTTCAAATATGTCTGTTATAGTTTCATCTTCTACTTTAAAATTTGTTTATATGATTTTTTTTAATAAAGATGAATGTATCAATTATTTATTTAATAAAGATATATTATACAATCTGCAATCTTGTTCTTCTTGTAATTTTTTACTTTATTGTGAAAAAAAACTTTATTGATGCATTAATCGTACTTGTTGTAAATCCTTTTCCATATTAAAAGATTCATTTTTTTCAAGAAACCATCTAAAATGTTCTGACATCATGTTAATTGGTTATCTTTGGTTAAATAAAGTTACATACACAAGTATACTAAGTATGACATGTTATTCATTAGCAACTATTACAAATTACATGAATTTGTTTAGAGAGATGATTTCTAGCACCTTGAAAGATGACGATAATATGATTGGTAGATCTGATGTAATTGTCAAACTCGATGAGACTAAAATAGGTAAGAGCAATTAATAATTAATTTTTTAGTCAATTAGTTGCAACTAACTGATTAGTTATCTAAAAGGTTTAATCTATTTGTTATTAGCTTATTAACTAATTAATTTTTCCACCTTTTAATTTGTAATATTAGGCAAGAGAAAGTATTATTGAGGTCACTGAGTTGATGGAATATAGATTATTGGTAGAGTTGAACAGACAGAAGAAAAAAGATGCTTTGTTGAAGTAGTTGCTGATAGGACTGCTAATACATTACTTGAAGTTATATCTCAACATGTTTTAGAAGGCTCTATTGTGTATACAGACATGTGGCATGGATATAATGAGCTTGAAGATTTAAGTATGACCTACAATGTAGTAAATCATTCTGTAAACTTCGTAGACCCATGACTGGTGTTCATACTAATACTATTAAGGGGTTGTGAAATAGTTTGAAATTGAGAATCCCACTTTGTGATAAAACAAAGGATGATATCACTAATCACCTTCATGAATTTGTATAGAGAAAAAAAAATAAAAATAATATATAGAGTGGTTTTATTAATGCTTTAAAACTACAAGTTATCCCAATTCTGAATAAATTGTTTTATATCTTTATCAGTATTGTCATGTCTATTATGTCCAAGACTTTTTTAGACCATGTTCAACATCCAAACATTCAAGTGTCCAAGAGTGTCCAAAGCATGTTCAAGCTTTAATAATTAATAAATTTGTCTAAAAAATATATGATTATATATTTTTTTAGGTTCTGAATATTTTTCATTTAGAAAAGTATATATATTATCTTAATAAAATTTTAAGTAATTTTAATTTATATTTTTGTCCAAAAATGTTCAAAGTCATGTCCAAAGCTGTCCTGTGACAACACTGATCTTTATTACATATGTATTTATTCAATTTACTAATTTTACAAATTATTTTAACATTATATCAAATTTATCCTAATAATTACATAAAACATAAATTTACATATAAACAATTTTTTATTAACAAATTTACTAAAAAAATTTATTGTACAAAAAGAATAAATAGCTTATCAATTACTATATATTAGTTATTAATGTCCAACAAGACAGAGCTGAATTCTGAACAACGATAACAAACAAAGAACACAAAAAAAAAAGAATGGGCATTAATAAACACATTCTACAAGCAAAAAAAGCAAACAACAAATGAAGTAAATATACTGTGATGACAGATATTGTGATACTAAAGATCATGACCGATCATATGAAAAATGCATGAAATGCAATAAATGCAATAAGTGCAATAAGTATAATAAGTGACATTTAAGATTGGAAAAGGTATTTCAGATCCAAAGGGGTAAATAAGGAATAAAAGAAGAAAATAACAGATATTAAATAAATACGTATAAATGAGTTTAATTAGTTTTAAGAGATAAGTCGCATTTGTAAGTGATGAATTTTATATTATAAATAAAGGTCGAAATGGCCCTAAGGGATGATATATCTTGTTTGCTTTAGTAATGAACAAGTCCCAATACATTGTAATCATCCATAATAAAACCCTAACACTATATCTAGCATAAATCCTATAAACACCAATAACTATCGTTGTTCGTTCAAGCCCTTATACACGTGACTGACCCTACTTGCATTCATTGACCCAAAGTAACTGAAAGCCTTTTTTGCCCACAAGCCAAATCTAACACCCTTTTTCGAAAAGGTTACTTGTCATACATTATATGAGGTTTAGAATTTTGGAGTGACAAAGTCACAAACTTCCGAATCTAACAATACCTATCTAAAATCAAAAGTCAATTTCAAGAAACTAATAGAGAAGCACCAGGAAAGAAGAATAGGCATTAGTAAACACATTTTACAAGCAATAAAATCAAACAACAAATAAAGTAAATATACTTATCCAAATTCAAAAGTCCAATTCCAAGAAACCAAGAAAGAAGCACCAGAAAAGAAAAATAGGCATTAGTAAATACATTATATAAGCAAAAAAAGCAAAACAACAAATGAAGTAAATATACTCATCTAAAATCAAAAGTCCAATTCCAAGAAATCAAGAGAGAAGCACCAGAAAAGAAGAATGGGCATTAGTAAATACATTTTACAAGCAAGAAAACCAAACAACAAACAAAGTAAATATATCTACCCAAAATCAAAAATCCAATTCCAAGAAACCAAGAGAGAAGCACCAAGAAAGAAGAATAGGCATTAGTAAACATATTTTATAAGTAAGAAAACCAAACAACAAGCAAAGTAAATATATCCACCCAAAATCAAAAGTCCAATTTCAAGAAACCAAGAAAGAAGCACTAAGAAAGAAAAATAGACATTAGTAAACACATTTTACAAGCAAGAAAACCAAACAACAAATGAAGTAAATATATCTATCCAAAATTGAAAGTCAATTTCAAGAAACCAATAGAGAAGTATCAGAAAAGAAGAATGGGTGTTAGTAAACATATTTTACAAACAAGAAAACCAAACAACAAATGAAGTAAATATACTCACCCAAAATCGAAAGTCCAATTTCAAGAAACCAATAGAGAAGCATTAAAAAAGAAGAACAGACATTAGTAAACACATTCTACAAACAAGAAAACCAAACAACAAATAAAGTAAATATACCCATCAAAATTGAAAGTCCAATTCCAAAAAACCAAAAAAGAAGCATCAGAAAAGAAGAATAGAAGTTAGTAAATACATTTTACAAGCAAAAAAACCAAACAACAAATAAAGTAAATATACTTATCCAAAATCGAAAGTCAATTTCAAGAAACCAATAGAGAAGCATCAGGAAAGAAGAATGGACATTAGTAAACACATTTTACAAGCAAGAAAACTAAACAACAAATGAAATAAATATATCCACCTAAAATCGAAAGTCCAATTCAAAGAAACCAAGAGAGAAGCATCAGAAAAGAAGAATGAGCATTAGTAAACACATTCTACAAGCAATAAAACCAAACAATAAACGAAGTAAATATACCTACCCAAAATCGAAAGTTTAATTCTAAATAAAAAAGCCAAAATGAAGTACTAGGAAAAAAAAAAGAGCATTAATAAATCCAAAATCGAAGCTACCTAGCTCCCAACAAAGTAATAAAATTTGACAAATAAAATTTCCAAAAAAAATAAATATCCTACTTTTATATAACTCAAATTGACTTGCAGAAGTTAAGTATTTAACTTTAATTAGCATGAGCTAGCTTATTTAATTTTATAATCATTTAATTTAACTAACTATTGTATCATGTAATCATGTGAAACTAATCGAAGTTGCCCACCTATACTAAAAGAGATCTGTATAGAAATTATATTATAATTTTTTATATTTGTTCACCTATACTAAAGATCAACCAGCATGCTGTGTTCTAATATATTTGAATAAAAATGTCACATCCTAAAGATAAAAACTTTAACATTAAAAAAAAAAAATAAATAAAGACATATAGGCAAATTGCTACTTTAAATTGAAAAAAAAATTTAAAACCATATTTAATTAAACAAATTAATTGCAATACTAAACAATATTTTAGAGGTGTGGTGATTTAGTAAAGTGAACAGGTTGTCAACCACCAAGTAGCAGATCTAGTATTCAAATTCTATAAATAATAAAATTTGAAAATTATATCTGTATTATGTTAACTGTGTTTTGTTGATTAGTTGGATAAAAGAAATGATCTGTAATCTTAAAAACACTATCTTAAATGAAAGCTTGAAGCATCTATGTGAAATATAACATTACATATATATAAAGAAATATTAATAATCAGTATTGTATAAGACTTTAGTACAAACTTACAATAAGACTACTAGGTGCATAATACTAAGAAACCAAAGCACAAAAACCTACTTAAAAATCCTAAGTAAAAAGGTAGCATAGACTTTTGATAATACTACTAAACTATCAGAAGGCTTTAAAAAGAATTACTAGAATTACTAGAATTAATTAGACTAAACATGTGTAAAGAAGCACATACCAACCAGACTGCTAGAAATCATTGGAGAAAAAGGATCTTAAAATATCATACTGGGCATTTAAATTAGTAGTTTGTAAAGTCTTGTAGGTCTTATAGATCTAGAAGTAGAGGTGGAAGTTAGAAAAGAAAGGTATCAGGGTTCTAGTAAACTTTACAAGAGTATAGCAGTTTAATAGTTAGCTCTAACTGCAAATAATAGTTTAGACCAGAATAGTACTAGGTTAGCTGTAAGTATAGAATACAGAAGGTTCTGGTGGGCTTAGTATAAAGTTAAACATGACTTAGTGACCATGATATATTTGCAGATTAATACTGCAGTTGATATGATAAAGTGAATACAGGAACTAGAGTGTTTAAATAAAGAACTTATAGTTATGACAACTAGTGTAAAACCTTTGGACAAACTACTTAAAATAGACAATAAATAAAGTTATATGAGTGGCTAGTTGTATACTCTTTTTATGATTGCCTCTGTAGCTATTGTATACAATAACTATATGCCAACTAATTATTAATAAACTTCTTGGTCACAATTACTTATCTTAATATTAAAAAAAAAAAAAAAAACTAAATAATATTTTAAAAATAAAAAATTTTATAGAATATAAATTAAAAACAGAATTAATAAAATATTAAATTTTAATAGCAATATATCTTAAATTTAAATATTTAAATTTATTTTTTTTATTTTACAATAAATAAATAAACTATACTTGCTAATCAGATTGAATTTACAAATCTTATTTAAAGAAGCAATTAAAAAATACCAAAACAAAAATAAAATTATGCTAATATATAAACAAATTCAAAATACTATTTAACAAATTCTAAAGTAGAAACTTATAATAG